ATCGCCAATGTCCTCGATAATATCGTACCTGTGACAATTTAGTTCAGTACCCGATACTGACTCATACAGACCTCCGTAGTCCATGTTAATGGCCGTCCATTTGATCGAGCACATTTTCGGGTGCGTAGCTATACTTATAGTGTATTTCATGTTATTGTAATAGTGTGTATCTAGGTGACTAGACACTTTTATTGATTTGTTCCCGGTTATATGAGCGGGTACAATTTGTTTATATGGGGAGCCATTGAAGTTGAAACTCTCCACAACACCGGTTAGGCCGGTGTAGTACTGTAGTGCACCTGACGGGGCTGTAATATGTTTGAAATTAAAAATTAATTATAATTTATAATAAAATTATATTATTTACAAAAATGTATTATAAATACGTTAAAATTATTTTAATTTTTTTTGGAACTAGTTTATTTAACTAACTCGTAAACCTAGGTGATAATTCATAAATGTATTAAAACTAATAATCATAAACATAAACTTACAAAAATTTGAAATATTTAATTATAGCCTAGAATTAAAATTTTTAAAATATTAAATTGTGCTGCACATTTTATTTATTTTTAATTTTAATAGTACCTTGTATGTTATAACTTACCTTGTAACGGTGAATAATTTTCTATTTGTCGCACCCTGATTCTCCATTTACGACTTAATTTGACCTGGTTATTTATAGTGACCCTTAAATTAGTTGCTTGATCACTTTTATTGGGGTCGACATCCAGATAGACTAATAGTAAATTGAGATAAAATAAAAATTATAATCAACACCATTAAAAATGTACTAGCTCCTATACTATGTTGTTTATAGAGATCCCCGCAAATACCGTCCCCGGGAAGTCCTACATCATTAAAATTAGTCGCACCGGTGATCACCAAGGAGTCTGTAAGTCGATTTGAGCATGTACCATTTATCGGCGGTGCCAGGGTGAACTCCTCGAAGTCTAGCCTAATTTGGCTAACTAGGTTAAGTTGTACGGTATACGTGCAATATGCTGGTTCAAATTTTCCGGATATCCATGCTGGGTAATTTGGTGATTCAAAGTATGTGTCAGTGGTATCCGTGATTGTACCACATGACCCACTATCTGAAATTGTAATTGTACCTGATGAGTTTTATTTATAACGTGAAATATTAAAGTTAATTAACTTACCATTTAGAAATGAATGATTTAGATTAGTACGTTGTACATTTATAATATTATCTACTAGAATGAATAGTAGTAGTATATTATATATAGCTTGTTTTAATTAACAATAATATATTTAATTTATAATGGTGTATAAATAACCAATAATGTTGTATTTTGTTTGCGATCAACTTATATAGTACAGTAGTTTGCTAGGTAACAAAATGAATTCAAGCTTATATATTTTTGTAA